AGAAACCAAACAACCTCTCCACAGACGATCATCGCTGCTGTCATCATAACCCTTTACAGAAGACCTCCCCTGTTCAGCCAGGCCAACAATTCCCTCTAACGACCCCCCTTTCAGAGACATAGACAGGTATGGGGCATTGCAGGCTAACAAAGAAGCCAAACGACCCCCATTCCAAAGGGGGGGACCCGTTCATCCGTTTCTATTTGCATGTTTTCTAAACAAAAACAAGGCTTTGTTGGGATACTGGACGCTATTTCTGACACTTTGAATTGAAAAAGCTTCCTGGATGGAAGAGAAACGTCTTCAAACTAAGAAACAAAGTCCAGGGGATTGAATTTTTTTTACTTTTTGGGGAAAATTAGCTCATCCACAGCTTCAACAAAAAGTTACCAAGTCACAAGTAGGGTGCCAAGACCGGATCAACAGGGATAAGTTCTAAGAACAGATGAACAAGTTCCTAATCAGTATTGAACCTGGTTCCAAGTCCTTGGGCCAAGTCTTCATAAAACGCTAAGAGTATTGACCTGAGACAGATTCAAGACCATCCAAATCATGAGCGCTTTTAAAAAGAAAGACCAAACCCACAGGATTGTTGCGGGATGAACCAAGGAACCAACGCTGGTATTGGTTCAACAAAACATTGACTGGTATGAAGCCATTGTCTATAACAGCACTGTGCTAGCTTAGCCATGTCTACCCATAGAGCTGGCATTGCTTATTCTTTGAATATTTATGTAGTAACAATTCCTTTAAATGACTGTAAACCAGAAAAATCCTGTTTCTTACATTTGCTCCAGGCAGACTGACGGTCAGGTCAGTCGGGGTCTTTACACCCAGACTCAGCTTCTTCTTCCACAGGTAATAATATTCCACACACTCGGAGAGGGACTTGGACCGAACCTGAACAGACAAACAGGTCAAACACCTAAAGTGAAAATCAGTTGAACTCCATGATGTTATTTATCCGAGGTGGAAGATGTGGAAAAGTCATCTCTTTTCCATGCGGGGGGGGATTTACCATTAGGCAGTAATAGGCAGTTGCCTATACCATAAAACTCTGTTTACATGTATGGTTAATACAACTATTCCTTATTTGTGCACATTAAATATGTTTTTGATAAAGATCCTTTCGCTAAAATGCCATCAAAATGTTTATAATGAGTGTGTCTCAGCCCCCCCCTTTCAGTGTCCACCATATTGGATCAGTCCATTTGCTGCACATGTTCAGAAAGGTCCAAACAGTACGGAGCTCCTAAAGGGACATGGAGGGAAAAAATAAACTTTTTATTAGTATTGTGGGATCTCGCAAAAGTATTGCGGGATCTCGCAAAAGTATTGTGGGATCTCACAAAAGTATTGCGGGATCTCGCAAAAGTATTGTGGGATCTCGCAAAAGTATTGTGGGATCTCACA